CGCCGCTGCACCTCGTCCTTGGCCCGGCGGGTCTCTGCCAAGAAGTTCGCATATTCGGGGCCACTCTTGGCCACGAAGCGCCCGGGCCACTCGATCCCCCTGGACGTCGCGGCCTCGTCGCTCAGGTCGGAGGCGCGGCCGCGGGGCCGACGCCGAGATCGACGACCCCCTTGGCCATCACGAGCGCCGCCAGCACGGGGGCCCCAGCCGCGGCGATCGCCGCGGTCGCCCCAAGTCACGGCGGTCGCCACGTCCATCAACACCGTCTCTGGGATAGCCTTTGCCGCCGCCGTGGCCCTCGCCGCCCTCGGCATAGCTGCTGCCTCTCCGCGGGGGCCCCATCGCCTGGCGCGAGGGTAGGTTTCTAAGCAGTCGGGGCCACAGCCTGACACAGCAGCGGATGAATCAGGGCGCGCAGGAGAGGCAGCGGGCAGCCGAGGAGGAACATCTCCAGGAGAAGCTCGAGCAGCCAGTACGAAGCCATGAATACCGAAAGCCCCATAGAGCGAGCACGCGCGAGTCGATTGGCAAGGAGACTACATAGACCAGCAAGACCACGAGGTAAGGCGCCAACATAGGGTAGAACCGTCGCCCTCTTCCGTTTCTTGGCATGGTCGCATAGCCATTCACGATTGTTGTCTCATGATGACCACCGATCCGACAGCAACCCCTTGTACATCCAGCCAAGTAGCCGAGGAAAACGAGAGAGCCGAGGTAGTAGAGGGCTCAACGTCGCACGTGGCGTGCACGAAGTGCGCCGCACACGCCGTGCATCAACAGATCGACGGAGCACCACAACATGGGACTCATGAGGCTGCAGTTGTGGAAAACCCTCCAGGGCACAGCGGGAAAGGTCACGTTTTGCCCTAAACTCCAAAAGAACACAATGACACACTGAGGGCTACCCCAGATAGTACACCATCAGATCGGTCGGGAGGCCTTGTAGCTCGAGAACGATCCCGAACGCGCTGACCAGGGATACCCAGCAGTAGACAGACAAGGCCAGGAAGACATCCGACGTCGCTACACGAAAGGCCCCCGGTGGGACCGCCGGCTCAGACGTGACCAGGGACGCAGACGGGAAGGCCCGCGAGCGTCGACCCCCCCTCACCAGGCAAGCCTCAGATGGTACCGCTGACTGGATGGACTGCTTCAAGAGCACCCATCCCGACGCAATAGCCGTTGCGCCGCAGTGCTCATGCGCCTGACCCGCATCACACGACACCGCACTCGCGGCCAAGAATGCGCAGCCAGACCGACGACGATGACGTGGGGGGGCAGCGAGGAGACTCACGCGGAGGGAACGAACATCGTCAGCGGCGAACCTGGTCAAAACATTCACATCCAGCACCAGGCCACTTCAGAAAACACCGAGCAGCACGCCCGCTCATGCGGAAACCATGCATGCCAGAGGAACCTGCGGTGTCAATTACCCGTCTGCAACAGCTGCGGGCTACTTTCCTGCTAAGCCCGCCACCCTCCTCCGAGAACCTCTTTGACTTCGCAATCGGGAACACGATTGGAGGGCGGGATGTGGTCAGAGGGCGTGGAAGCCGAGATGGGTCACGGAGCCACGGGGGGAGGGCTGACTGTGCTCTTGCCCACTGCGGGCAATGTCTTTATCCACATCCAGTGCGTCTTGGAGTTTCGGACTCTCTTCCCAAGAAACATGAGGCGCACTGGATATGGATTATCATATGCCTCCAAAAGGCTCAATTTTTATCCATATCCAGTGCGCCTCGGCCTTGCGGCGCCCCTTCCAAGAAAGTCCAAGACGCACTGGATATGGATATAAATATTGCCCGCACCCACGCCCACGCGCACACGTCTTCGCCCCACACACCAGGACGGTGCTTCCACGCCGCACCCTCAGAACTCGACCGGAACAGATGGCGAGTTAGGTCGGGCCCGCTCGCAGACCCGACACGATCGGCATTCTTATCGTCACCGATGATGACACACTGATCTGCCTCGTCCAATGCAGCTGCCATCGCCTGCCCGAGCTCTGCCCACGCAGGCGGTGGCTCGCCGTGGCGGCGGGCCCGAGGCACGCACCCCCCACGGAGGAGGAAGAGGAGCATGCCGAGGCCGCCGATGCGGAGCGACTGCCCGGTGTTGGCCACTGGCTCGGGCCCGCCGCCGTGCACGGAGAGCTCGGGCCAGCACGTGGCCCAGTACTTCAATAGTGGAAACAATTGGTCTTCAAAATGTTTGGTCTTTCGAAGCTCTGCGTGGCGACGCCCCCGTCGCCACGCGTGCCCCGTGCGTGCCTGCGGGGGCGCCGCCACGCAGAAGTACTGGAGACCGAGCATTTGGGGCGTCGCTACGCACGCCCTCTGCGTGGCTGCGACCATTTATTGAAACCCTAACACCAATTAAATTCACTAATAAAGTACGTGCGCGGTGCAGCTGAGCGCGATGGGTGCCGACTCGCCGGCCCCAACTGTCGACACCTGCCGCGCACTGAGCCACCAGCAACTTAGCTGGAGACCACCGTGGATGACGCCACACACCTCGTAGGCAACGGAGACCACGAGGAGGAAGAGGGCACGAACACTGCGTCGGTCGAGGGAGGTCCTTCACCGTGCAGGTGCGGCAGAAAGTCGAAACATTGACCGTGTCCTTCCACGTCGGTTGGCGGCCAAACGCGAGCCTGAGCCTGCTGCGGATCCGCCTCCGAGAGTCCTCGAGCATTACTTAAGATACCTAGCGCATAACTTCCAAGCGAAATCGTTTCAAATGCCGCCCTCGCTCCAGCTCGCAGGGAACCGCCATCGGCGGGAGACGCACGCGTGGGAGTCGAAGGCGCCTGAGCATGGCATCGATCAGCTTGAGTGCGCGAAGTGTGCGATTGTGCGACTGGAGAAGATCAACGACCAAGGTCGCGGCCCACACCACACATGAAGCCAACTGCTACAAAGGCCACCGCGGCGTCCGAAGAGGAGGACGCGGACGGACGTGCAAGCCACGCCAAGAATATACCAATTCTTTGACGCCCAAAAAACCATAGCGGGCCCACTTCGCCCGCGTCGGCAAGACGTTGGCGCTGCTGTGCCACGTAGAGGGTTGGTTGAGCAAGGAGCCGCGCCAGACAATGCACCAAGAAGGAGATCAACAAGAGGAACGAGCCGCGTTCAGGAGCGACGAGACGGGATACCATCTGGCTGCGCAGACTGGAGCCACGGGGATACACGAGCACGGGATATCCGTGCACGCCCCCAGCGTGGCGGGCGTCTGCGGGGAGAACGGTGGAGTCGATTAACCTTGTAGCAGATAGTCTCCTCTGGCCGCCTTCTGCTCAGCGCCTGGCGAGGAGTCTGCCCGGTTGCAGAGGGGCCGGAAACGTCGCACCATCAAAACCTCATAACGATATGCCGCGGAAGCCGTCGGCATGAAAAGCACCAGTAAGAACGCGAGGTCACCGAGGCTTCTGCGGAGAAGAGCGCACCTGGGTCGGTTGCCGTTGGGATGGACAAAAAATGCACCTGAGATGATCGGATAATCTGCCTGCAACTCCAGAAATCCGGGCAATCTGCCTGCGATGAATGAAATCGACGCCCCTCGCGCACAATGGGCAATGCGGCCACCTGAATACAAATGCCTGCAGAGACAAAGCCATTCCGCTGGGAGCAGCCGAAGTACATTTGCTGCCCACGACGGTATTGAAGCCAGCTGGAGAGCACGGAGAAGACGTAAGATACCTGACACTATCATGCTATTCGCCACTGCCTAGAAGGGAAGCTGCCCACGAAGAAAAGGCTTCCTCCCACTGCGAAAAAAGTAAACCTCCAAGGTGGTACAATAGCATTGAGAGGGTCGACAACGCCGTCGGGCTGGAAAGTAACGACCAAGCGAACGCAACGGTATCCTGAAATCGATCCACAGGTAGCTTGGGAATGTGGGACGAGGCAGTACTCTGGATGAAAGCTTCTGCCGCGGCGATACCGGCTGCACTCTGGGTTGGACGAGGGAACTCGAAATGTGTAGGGTGTAGTTCAGCCTTCGCACCAGCAGCATCCCCATGGCACGGAAAAAAGACGATATATACCTATACGACCACCCTGCGGGTGATAAGGAGGTTGGGGGGGGAGGGGCCCAGCAATGGGCAACAGTGGTGAATGCTGTTGTGACAATGCCAGTGGAGATAGTTGCGTTGCCGCTCGCTCTTGGGAGCGTTGGTGTCGAGTTGTTTACGTCACCCTTTGCTCTTTGGCGCCTTGGTACCATTCGGCCCTCCCCCTGGGAACCTGCCCAACTTGCGCAACGGCAGCTAACGGCGCCATTTGGCCACAGAAGACTGAAGCAGCTTCGACCCCCAGACTGGACCCTTGAACCCTGGGAGGCCCTGAGCGCCGAGGACCCCCGGGCCCGCAAGGCCCCTGGGACACCCGCACCAAGGCCCCTGGGACACCCGAGCCCCCCGGACCCCGACCCAGAGTGCTCGGGGCCCTGCCTGTGGACGGCGGTCGCGCAAGGCACGACCAACAGCCGCGAGTCCACGTCGTCATCATCATCATCGACATCACCATCAACATCATCATCATCATCATCATCATCATCATCATCATCATCATCATCATCATCATCATCATCATCATCATCATCATCATCATCATCATCATCATCATCATCATCATCATCATCATCATCATCATCATCATCATCATCATCATCAGCGTATTCAGCTCATGGATCATCATCATCACCATCAGCATCATCACATCACATCAACATCATCATCTCACAATGTCGTCCATCAGAATCACCACACATCCAACACCATGAAGGCCATCATCACCATCAGCATCGCACAATCGATCTCACATTCGGTCTCACTACCGATATCACAATCGATCTCGCAATCGACGTCATCATCATCATCATCATCATCATCATCATCATCATCATCATCATCATCAGCATCATCATCATCATCATCATCATCGTCATCATCATCATCGTCATCATCATCATCATCATCATCATCGCATCATCATCAT